AGGAACTCTGCGTGTGTTGCCAAGGAATTCCATGCTTACTGTTTCTCACAGACATACCACAGCTTTGACTCACTTCTGTAAGAAGCCAAGTGATGATTGTTCAGCCTTACAGTGACAACAGCAGATTTTTATATATTCTGTAACTGGCAGTTCTGTCTTTAGGACTGCCTCAAATACAAGTGTTTATGTGTTGCAGAATTAACAGAACAGAGAAATACGGACTATTTCTCTTATGCAGCACAGGAACCCACAAGGCTTCAATGTGTAACAGCTGGGAAAATCCTACAAAAATATTTTTTAAAAAAGTAAACACAACGGAAAAGAGAATATTATGTTTCATTTGAAAGTTATAACCAAACCTTGTGAAACCCAAATGGATGGTTACTTTAATGCATAGAAGACAGCCATGCACCTCTTATGGTGCATTCATCTGCTAACAGAAGTATTGTGAATAAATTTTATTGTACAGTAATTTCCTTGGTTATAACAATTCGGCTTCCGCATTTACTGAAAGTTAAAAATCAATCAAGAACCAATACAATTAGCAATGCTTAATAGTCAACACGTGCAGAGGTCCTTGAAAGGCTCAGACATCAGTTATTAATAAAGCCAGCTGATACCAAGCAAACTTGTAGCAAGTATTTCTAACTAGCTACTTCACACTGAAAAACAATCACAAGAGAACTTATCTGAACATAGCTATGTCTCAGCCTTTTACTGAGAGATGTCAGATAAAGGAAGAATTCTCAGCTTGAAAGAACTGGTTTATAGTTGAAAAAAATGATAGGTTTGGCCAATGTTTAAAAAAACCCCAAAACTGACATTTGACCTCTACAGAGTTAAGAGGATTTAGTCCAGAAACACATACCTCATAGGATCACCACCAAAACAAAGAAAACTCCCCAACACCCCACCCCCAATAACTCATACTTGAAAGCACCTACTTCAAACCTCAGGATATGACTCTGTGATAGGGCCCATCTTCCCCCTTTAGATTTTGTTCTCTCTCTGAGCCACTGACAATTTAGAAAACAGTTTTCCAGCCAGCTACATATTAATTTAATCACCAATTAATCTCCAACCACATTTTCCTGTTTATTTATAAACCTCATACAAGGACATGCCAAAAGCTGGGCTTTTGAGAGATGGCATGATAGATGTGACATGACAGATGGAACAAAGAGGGATGATTCTCTTCTATTCACAAGTTCTGTTATCCTGTCAAAAAAGGAAATTAGGATGGCCTGATGTGATTTTTCTTGACTAAATCAGCAGTAAACATTACTCATCATTTCATTGTCTTCTAGATTCTTATGAACAGTTTGGTTATTCAGTTCTCAGGGAAATACTGTAATGTAAGCAAAGAAGTTTGTAAGCAGATCCTCTCTCTGCCCCTACTGATAATTGACAATTGCTACATTTGTTTTTTCCTAGTCCTTCTGAAACATCACACATTCTCCATGGCCTCTCAAAAATAATTACTAACAGCTCCCAGACTACTTCTCAGAGTACTAAGTATCACGAGTGCTGAAAACCCTATTTACTGACGTCACACGAGAAGAACTACAGAGCCACTAACAGTCATAAATGAAACAACTTTTTATGCAAAGTAGCATGGAAATGAAAGTTATCAGAAGACCAAGACCTAGAAGGTATTTCACAGTGCAGGGACTGGAGCACCATCCATCAAACAAAAAAAGCCTTTCAAGGAAACACAAGGGCAGTCACATGAACATCCTGTAGATCAAAGTCCCCTAAATCATTGCAACACATAACAAAACGAGGAGCAAAATGGCTGCATAAAAAGTGATAAAGCACTGCATGCTAGTCATAATGAAGTAGCTTATATTTTACTTTGGCTTTGAACTAATGGTGCAAATTGTATTAACACACCCTTAAAAAAAAGGATGTTTGTTACTACAGACTCACTACGTGGCTCCATAGGTAAAGTTGAGTCCAAATACTAAATGTTGAAAAATTCATGTGGCAAAATTTTACCTTTGCGTACTTTCCAGAGGTTAGACGATAAAGGCCTTCTTAAAGATAAGAACTTGTAATACATGGATTCTACCAACACTTTTTGGGAGAGAAGAAAAAAAAAAAAAAAAAAAAAGCAGCTGTATTATACCTGTTGTCATGGTATCTGTGGGGATGATGGTGTAAAACATCTTGAAGGAAGCGCTCCATCAGGCTACTCGTACCCATACGATTCCTACAGTAAGTGGTAAAATGTCTGTGCTGGGAGCTGAAAACATGCTGGTGAAAGATAAAACAGATGACTGTTTAATACTACTGATAACACACTGGCCTGTTCCTAAAAATTACTTCCCAAGTTAAACATTATGCTGTTTCCCAGATTAAACATTACACTGTTGCTGTTAAAGTATTTAAAAAGAAAAATCTTCAGCCTTTTCTACTTTCAGGCCTTGATTCAATGAGATTTTAAAGCAAGCTTAAGGGAGTCACAAATAATACTAAAATGTATTGAAACATCTTTCTGAGTTGGAACCTAAATTAGCAGCTCTGACAGCTGCTCACAAATCTCTCGTAACTAGTACAAATACTCTAAATGTACCTATAAATGACACTAAAATATTCTTGAACTTCGTATGAGTAAACATCCTGTAATTCAGTCGAATTAAGGAGAATTTTCATAAGCACAGAAGATTAAACAGACTTCTACTTTCTAATTAAAAAAGTCTAAAAGATAGGAGACTGACAGAGTTAAAGAACAAAAAAGTAAATAGTTGATCAAATATCTTCAGCCTTGATATCTAACATATTAACCCTAAAACTTTACAATATATACAGATCTCAAGATGAAAGCCACAGAAATAAATCTAATGGATGCAATGCACAGCAGTGTGCCACTTCAGAAAAGCAGACTGCGGTAGCCATGCCACTTCACCAGCATCTTTTTAACAGGTAACAGATAAGAAGGGTATCTTCTACTCAGTGCATACATTGTGCAATTCACAAACTGATTATTTTTTCATTCAGTAATGGTTGTTCAGTTTAGAGACTGATATTTTATAAGCTGATAAAGCCTTTTGGTACTCCTTGCTATCTGTTGCTGAATCACGCAGAAGCCTTCTCACCTGTTCCAGATTACTGTAGTGTACATGGCAACAGTTGCAGTATCCTTGTCTATTTTGCACTGTGGATACTCCAGGCCGAGGATGCTCTCGCCCTCTTGTGTGAACACTGAAAGAAGTGGGTAATATTACCAAGACATTTCAGTAAAAAAATGAGAAGTGTTAGGTTGTTTAATTCATGTTCTTAACATGGAAATTCTAAATATCTATCTTACCATAGAACTGGAATAAACTTGCAAGATAAATGTTTATATTTCAGCATTGTAATGGCAAGTAGGACTACATATTTTAAGGTATTACTAAGCAAATATCACTAAAGAAAATTTTTCTTAAATGAAGAACAGAGGATAAAAGGTTGAAGGCACAGCTAACACAAGCGCTAATTTCAGTTGGCTGAAATCCAAAGAGAACTGTCTCTCCAGAAAAAGGCAGAGTCATATTCTCATTTCTCTGTTTTTTTAAAAAATAGACTGAAGACAAAGAAATCCCAACACCCACACATTAGTTTTGGGCACTACAATGCGCCTTCTCCAAAGTTTTTAATACTATGTAGGTACAAAAAGGACCTCCATCATACACCTGATCTACTGCATCACCGTCATCCATTACACAAGATAACAGAAAAAGTTGACAAACAGATTCTTCTTGGTTTACTTTGTGTAAGTAGTAAGCTAGATGCCAGTTAGATCATCACCTTACTTACCTGCTATTGCTGTCCTGTTGTAGAGAGCCTTCGACACCATGTCTTTCAATTCCTAAAGAAAAAAACAAAACAGAATATCAAAGAGATGGAATAGAGTTTTACCTACAATTAGTTACTTCTCTTACATTGCATTTGTCAAAACTGCTATTTTAAAGGAAGAGAAAAAGTTTAGTAAGTTAAATAAAGCATATAGAGATATCTTTTTGTCCTCAAAGTTCCTCTAAGAGCTTCATAAAATAAGCTTTACTCTTTCATGGTTGAGGTGAGTGGGAATTTTGCTACTGATTTGTCTGGATTAAGACTAGGCAATCTACATTTATACTGCTACATTCGTGATCACTGAGATAAAATGCAGCATGTCTTAAACAGCTTATTGCAGGACAAGAAAATTACATCTACATGGAAACTCTGTGGACAATTCAGAAGTCACTTCTTCCATCTAACGTTCTGCAATGAAATTTAGGAAATCAAAGTATGCAATTGAAACTACAAGGTGAACTAATGCTTCTATAATTATTACATTAAAAAAATGTAACAAAAACATCTACTTCAAACTTCTCACCTTGTGCTGAAGAAGCAGAAGCTTCATCAGATGGTTTGATTCTGTCAAACATCTGTAAGTAAAAAATAAAATAACTGAGAATAAAAAATAAAAAACCCACAGTAAAGCCCATCGTCAAGTTCAGCCTTCAGTCCAAGCTCCAAGCCATTCAGAAGCACTATATTGTTTCAGCTACAGACCAAGACTTGACATAAATGAAGCTGCATTTTACAAATAAATTTCTGCTTACTAAGTTACCCTAGTATTATATTTAACAATGCATGTTAACTTTGATAGAAGAGGCTAAGTTCTGATCTAATTAACAAATGAATAGAACTTAGGCTTTGTTAAGTTATTAAGCAATAACCTTGTCAAATTAATTACTTAATTTCCTAAGTTGCCTTTACAATAAAGATGAAAGATGTATGCTAATAAAAACCATACAAGACCTAGGCCACAAAAAATAATTACCCAGGCTGAAAAAGTAATCCTTATTGCTCAAAAGATCTGAAAATCAATATTGAATCTCACAATTTTTAATTAAAATATGACTGCAGGAACATGCAGTTAACATGCTTTAGGGTGCCCAAACACAAAGGACTTCTGAGTTTCACACAGTCCATTCACGTTTTTGAATGCAAACATACAATCAGCTTTCTAGTACAAACCTTAGAGTCATCAACCTTCTTCATCCACCAAAGGTGACTCCAGACTACCAAACAATAAATGTCGAGCAGGAGGCCATTTGCAGTGCAGGACACTTCTCTCTTCTCATCCCATCTGGCAACAATAAAGTTAAAGAGTCTTTTAAAACAGAGTTAATAAAGCATGTTTTCCATGCCCTAAGGCACATAAATTTTTCTGTACCACTTTGCAAACACATCACTCGATAAAATGAATAAATCTCTTTTTGAAGTCTGCAGTACATCCCTCTTTTTTATTATGGAAGTTGTTTTGACAGTCTTTCCTACATAAACGTAACCATTCCTTCTGGAATAACTCCATAGTCCCTATGTATTAAATACTGTTGTCATTTTGGATGGTAGCACTCATGAAATTAAGTGTACTTCTACAATAACAGAAAACAAATTCCTCAATATTAACCGAATTGAAATGAATCTATTTTAAGCATCATTCATGAACCCGCTCAGAAAAACAATGTTTCATTTTGCTTACGTTTCATAAACTAGTTCGATATTGCAGTAATACACTAACTGGAAATTTCACAGTAGGTTGGATCTTCAAAGCATTTTATAAATTAATCATTATATACTCAAGGAAGTATTATCATTAGCATTATAGACAGGAAGACTAAAAGGCCACAATGATTTGCACAATCACTGTCACAGTGTTACAGTGAAAGCACCATATCCTGTCTCAAAACTCAGGACTTAGCAATTCTTAGATCTGCTCTTGGCTTACCATTTACATAATTGTGGGATGACAAACTTGAAGTTTTGAATCAACCACTTTTACTTTTTATCCTTTATAAACTGTTTTTAGAGTTCTCCTTTCCTGTTCTCACATATGTAGAAAAGATCCTCCTATATGAGGCTACATACCATCAGGGTTGACAGATGTGTGGTTTGTTGTTTGTTTTCCTTAAACTTGTTTTGTCCTTTCCCCGACTGTGCACTGCTCATTATAAAATAGCAGGGCTGTTATAGCAGTTATGGTCAGAAGGAATATCTTAATATCTCAACTCAAAACAAAACCCCAAAAAAACCCCACCAAATCAAACCACCCACTGAAACCACCAGATTCATTCTCCTTCTTATAATGTATCAATTCATGCAATAATTTTTTTTTTAAAAAAACACAACACACGACCCCCCAGCTGTTCTTACAAATCTTCTCATCAGGCAACTAAGAAAAGCTTTCTTGATAGATCAGCTGATCTCAGTCACCCTGTTCTATGTCGTATACACAGCTGGAACCCAAAAGAATGTGAAGGAAAAATCCACAAGACTATCTGTCATGAATGATGCTTTATGGAAAATAACTTGTTCCACGTGCCCAAAGTCAACTTACCGATTTTTTAAGGTCTTACTATATATATACACACAGACACACACTTAAGATAAAGCTACAAATGCAGAGTGCAGCAAGAACGATCGCCATTGACAGGGCGGTCACTCAGCAGCAGGGGGCATCATGACCATTCGTCCCAGTACACTGCTCCAAAACTGGATGAAACCACCTCGATGTACAAATATCTAGTTTCATCTCAGAGACGCGAGGCAGTGGCAACTGCAATATGTTGGAGGATAGCTACTACAACGGTTCATTACTTCCTTATTTCAAGGAATAATTTCAATGGTGGTGTGGTACTGAGAGTCCACTCATCTGCAAGCACAATTCTGTAGGTTACATCCCTAGGCTAAGACACAGACCTATGCACGTTTAAACTGAGCTAGGAGCGCAGTAACTTTAAACAGCGCAGGACTATGAAAATAAGTACACCGAATTACTCCAGTCTGGATCTCCTTGTCATCTTTCTACAGTTCAAGGAGATTCAACGGACAAGATTTTCTCACTGGAGGAGAGGTGTGCTAGGTAAAATTTGTAAAAGCCTGGGTATTGTTTTTCCATCACTTACTAAACATCAGAGGAAGATCCTTCAGAGATACTTATGTACAAAGCTGACAAGAGAGGAAAACCTAGCCTCTTTATCTCAGTGTTTTATGAGACCACCAGTGTACAGGACAAAGAAAAAAATCTGAACTCAAACTACACACAGCTTGCTTACTATCTGGCTAGTCATGTAAAAGAAATCTGCTCTGTAGATACCTTATTTAGGTTGCCAAAATCTGAAGAGCCTAACTGCAATCCTTACTTTATCAAAACAGAAACTACAGCTATGAATCCACAAAGGATTTTTCAGATGTCCATGCAAAGCCTGCAAAATTCTAGCTTAGTTAAGATACTTCCAACTGTAAATATCTTAAACTGTTGGATTCAAAAAGTAAATTATATCTGTAAAAGCTTTAGCTTAAACATTTTATCACTGAAAAATCCTGTAAAGTGTAACAAACATAAAAACAACTGGCTACATACAGAAATGTTTGATGTGGTAAATTTCTAAGAAGGCTACTTTCGCTGTCTCTAACACCGATGCTTCTTTCTGGTTTTATCAAATTACTCTGTGTACGGCAGCCAGAAGATGAAAAGCCTTAGACAATCCCATTTAACATGAGAAATTCATAAAGAGACGATCAAAAGGCATGAAATGCACACGTCAAAAAAATCAGTGGTGCATTCTGATAGTACATAAAAGTGTCAAAGGCATCACAGAAACTCTCCAGACACAGTCACTGTTGCCTTGCAAGAAGTAAAATACAAAGGGGTAAAACACCCCACCAAATTTGCTCCTTCAAAAGCACCTCAGGAAACCCTCTACCGCCGCTGCACCTCAGAAGGTCTGTGCTGGGTAGACAAAGGTAAAACAACGGGAAAACTTCTCCCTTGAACAAAGTTATCTGTTTTCCACAGCACTAGCACAAATAAGGGAAGCGACAACTCAGTTCAGTTACGTGAATAAGTTACGACAGCTTTTGCCCCATCGCCACACAGCACCAGCTCGGGCTCCGGGTCGGGTCCCGTCCCCTGCTGCGCCGTGACCACGGCGGGCGGCGTGTCCACGGTTCCCCCCTCGCCCCGTTTCAC